TAATACACCCTTGTTGAGTAGAACTTGAATACATGGAATTCATTGAACTAATTGATAGAAACTTTGCTTCTAATGTAGAGCCCTGTAAGACTTAAAACAGACTAGATAGGTAACACTGGGTGACACAAAAAGCTAAGGATGACATGATGGTGAGGGTGTCCTCTTTTGATTCCTATTTCGATCTGTTAAAGAAGGTAACTATTCAACGTCAGTTCTTTAGCTCAGACAGTTAAAGGCATTTCAGCTATGCCATTCTGTGTACCTACCATGAGTTTACGTTAGGTGTGCTCGCTAGCGAAAACGTCAAAAATCTCTATGGAGATTTTGTTTCTTGAAAGTAGCCGCTAGGGGCGCTGCACAATATGTCATACAATTAATGTCATTTTTTTACGCAGTCGCTAGCGAGCACACTTAACGTAAACTCATGGTAAGCACACTGAACTTCAGTGTCTCTGCGTGTCGTCTTCAATAAGTAGGTAGGTACACAGAAAGTTTTAACCAGAGAAAGTTTTACTTTGTTCATACTCTTATCGAATAACTTTCCAGTTATGACTAAGAAAATAAAAGGGTCAATTTCCCAAACACATTTTTTGAGCGGCGTAGCTGAAAATCATATGTTTTTTAAAACATAGAACTTTGATTTTTTTTTACACGAAAATATACAGAGGTTCCATTTTGAGGACAACATTATTAATGAGTATTTTCTTTTACAAATTCGACAAAAAATAATTGAACTAAGCGTTTCTAATTTTGGNTAAGTACGTCGTTATTTATTTATTAGGACAATATACCATGATGAATATTTTTGGAGTCGGTGCTGGTAAATTTAAAACCATTTCTTGAGCTTGGCACTAAGATATGACCGACTGACAGCATATTTTCTAATTTTGGTGCTTTAATATATATTTTGGTGTTCTCTTAATTTTGGTGTAAGGAAAATCTAAAAAACTACTGGACAAAATTTATTGTCTTAATCATTTTAGAAACAGTATAAGTTTCCAATAAATTTGATCTATAATTAAAGAATAAAAATACACAACTAACAATTTACACCAAAATTAGGCAAAAATATGCACTTGTTGAAATTCACCCAAAAAAAAGCGAAATCATCAGTAAAAAGTGGAGTGAGTCATTGCGATCTCAGCGAAAGTAGGTTCGGCTCTCTTTAAGGCACTAACTATGTATCATCGTCCTATGTTTGTTTTCGCGATAAAAATACAATTAACAAAGATTTCACGTGCGTGTGCGCAAACGAAGCACTTTTTAAAGACAATGCGAGTGAATCAGGGAAGGAGCTGTTTTTGTGAGTCACAACAGTATCGGGTCAAGTTACTTTAAACTTCAGTAGACACTCATTCGCTAAGTATTTACTATGTAACTAACCCGAATCAAAGATCTCATCGCATAGGAACGTACTTAGAGATAAAACATATTGTTAAGCTAATGTAAACATTACCTATCTTAGTTACATCGGTATATGTAAAATGGGAGGTTCTTTACGTAGTACCACCCCGTCTTGAAAAATCCTTCAGTAGATATGATAGTAAACTTTCAAAACTGAAAGTAATTCCCCGTAAGTTATGTAGGTATTGTTATGTGTTTTGAAAGCATATAGGTACTCACACATTTAGTCAGTTTTTGAGTCAATTTCTAAGAAAATTTTTGGTCGTTCAAAAGTTTCGTTAAAATATCTAATTAGATATTATTAGACGCTATGATGATACTATGTTGTATTAAGGGGACCACATACTCACCAAGAAATGTGTGTAAGTTATAAAAGTATGTACGAGTATAGAGTCGTCTTTTCAGAGGCATGTCTATTTTCGCACAAATGCACTAGGGCGTGTGTCTATAAACTGAATGGAATCTGGAAGCGGGCAATGCGCGCGCGCCGAAATAGGGTTCAGTCTGCTCGCTATATTAGTACTCCACCAAGGGCCTAACCAAACCAAATATTATCGTTTCTATATTTTTTGTCGCATATCAGTGATGTAATTCCTCTATTAACCAAAACCAATGCACTAAACCCAAAGATTAGATCAAAGAAAAGTTAGTATCGTTTCGTATCGAGATTGTATAGAAATAAAATAGGTATGAATATAAGGCGAGTAGGCGACTGATGGTACTAAAGAAAGACCAGTGCATAGCAAAATTAGAGAGCTTAATAAGCTTTAACTTAATTAACCGTCATTGGTTTTATAGGTACAAATGAATGGCGTTTTTGTGGTATTTTTCGTAATGTTAGACTAGAGTTATTTGTTCTACATGGGTAACCTTTTAACGTTCAACAAGTTCAAAGCTATGACAAAATTGCTATGCAATTCCTATCAACACAATATGAGCAACACAATACAGTCGTCCTTTTGGCGTTAACGATTGTAGAGAACACAATGCGAAGGGGGCTTGACCAGCGCTGCGGCGAGCAGCTGGTGCGAGCCGCATGCCATTGCGACAACATTATGCGTATTCTGAACATTATGCGTATGTATTTTGTCTGTAAAAATACAAGTACCTACGGCGTATTGTTTTTGACGTAGTTTACTGGTTATTTTGTAAATATGTTTACATTATATTAATTAATATAAGGATAGGGGTTGCAAAGTAAAATTAATAATAGTAAAAGAGCGTTAATTTCTTTTTCTTATTTAACCACATCGCCAGCAGCAATGCTTACATAACAAAAAAAACCTAGCCTATTTATCTTAGTATAGATTTAAGTAATAAATCAGTAAAAATCAGCAGATATTCTCAAATAAAATCCTTTACGTGATGTTTGAAACAAAGACCTCACGAGAAGGTGGTTAAATAGTACTAATCAGCACGTTTTGTAGTTACCAGTACCACCATAACTATCGTTTCGGGACATTAGGATGTAGGTAGCTAAGTAGACCGTAATAAAAGTGAGTTAAGAATTTACCATACCTATTGTCCGTAGGAGTGCTAGGTACTTACGTCGGGGAACTCCGTGCTTACATTCTTAGAAAGAAATTAGATTGTAAAAGGGACGATAAAATTCTTTACAAAATTAAATTCCAATCAAATACCATGACCAATATTTCTATACAGCTTTTTTTCTTAGAATTTCGTGGTACACTTGTAACGTAGGTTTTTAATCAAATTAATTAAATAGGCTTTGATTTACTTCTATCAGTCGTATCGTGTGGTCTCTTGACAATAATAATAAATAAATAATAATAAATAATAAATAAATAAAAGCCCGCCATTTGTAACAAGTTTTTACAATAAAATTTGCGTACAAATTCTTCAGTGATATTTTAATAATGCAATGTTGAAGAAAATAACGATTTAAGGCCCGCCATACACGGACAGCTCGAGCACTTAGTGTTTTTAAAGAATTAATCTAATGCTTGCTTTACATAATTTAATACCAAGAATAAGAAAGAAAGAAAGAAAGAAAAAATGTTTATTCAGTATCATCGACAATACACTTGCAATACTTAACATTATTTAATGAGAAGGTAATTACAATGATACTGAAAAGGTATCCACTCAGCATGAATAGGTAATATGTAACTTAAATCTTTGTTATTATGTTAATTAAGTATTTCATGCTGCAGATAATTTTATCTGCCTACTCTAGGAGCGTGCGTGGCGCTATGTTTAGTCTGAGGCCTCAGCCTCGAACTTAGCGGGCAGCGGGGCGGCGGCGGCGGCGGCGCGGGAGCGGGGCGGGCAACGCAGACCCGTTCTCGAAACCAGCGGGCAGCTCGCGCGGCGCTTTAGCGACGAAGTGTTGTGTTCCGGGTTGTGTTGTCGAGATATTTGTTTTTATTCGCAAACGAAATGTCTGAACAACGGCGACAATTTTATTTCGATTCAAATTTATTCCTAACGCTCGATTTATTGTGGGCAAAAGAAGGAGTGCGCTGCCCGCTCGTTACCCGCTCCCTCGCCGCTGCCCGCTCGTTGCCCGCTCCGGCGCCGCTGCCGCGCCGCTGTTTTCGAGAACCGGTCTATTTGATTTCACGCATAAGATCCTGCCGCTGTCGCGCCGCCGCCGCTCCCGCCCCGCTGCCCGCTAAGTTCGAGGCTGAGGCCTGAGGGTTGCTTCCAGTCAGTCTGAGCGCATAAAATGGTAATATCTATTAAAAGGGGAACCCCCCTGAAGTCATATTATTTACTTTACTATCTGATAAAAAATAATCTATCATGCGGACAGAGGCTGACTTTTCCAGCTTATCGCGATAAGAGGAGCTGATAAAATACAATAATATTATACACCTACTTGATACCGTGAGACATCAGTACCTCTAGTACGAAAAACTTTCGAGTTCGTTTCGTTGCGTATTCAAAGTGTCATCGAAAAATTTTGTATGAAAAATTAAACAGCGCCCCCTATATTATAGCCGCCCTAGGGGGCGCTGTTTAATTTTTCATACATAATTTTTCGATGACACTTTGAATACGCAAACGAAACGAACTCGAAAGTTTTTCGTACTAGAGGTACTGTACTTGGGTTTGTGATAACGATAAAATTCTGCAACGAACTCGAGTTCGACATCATTATTCTACGATAATTAATTTGTAACTGTACTGTGCACGGAAAATAATCAATGTTAAATAAATTTTATTTTTACGCTTGTTTAGTGTTATTTTTAAAATGGGAAAATTGCTATCTTAATTTAAGATAGTACATTAGTACCTAAGTAAGTATTATAATTTTACTTAATTTTCTATTAAGTAACTAGCTGACCCGGCGAACTTCGTACCGCCTTAGCGTAGAGATTTTCTTAATATTTTTTTCCGTAAGAACCATCCTTGGACTTCCACAAACATTTAAAAAAAAGAATTATCGAAATCGGTTCAGCCGTTCACACGTGATGCCGTGACAACGCGAAACGGGTTTCATTTTTATATATATAGATATACCTAATACATAAGCTAGGATAGTGAATAAATAAAATATCGTAAGTCTTTGTTATATCTATAGTTTTCATGTTACTTACCTATTTTAAAAACAGATAAAGCAAGTACTCTCACCACTTGTTCTTCAAAATCGGTTTATTTGTCAACAAAATGCTGAATTTGCCAAACTTCAAGTGCCGCCAGACAATACGATGATAAATCTATAAGTAAGCCGCAGTACCGTAACCCGTAAGTTGGCGAGCGTCCTCACGACGAAGCATTGTTGTCAGTAGTTTACTTGCCCGCTGTCGCGGTTAACATCCGCCAGCCTCGCTGAACGAGCGCCGCGCTTGCAGTTCGAACTTGGCGCGCAAACAGAACCCACTAGCGCGGTCAAGCCGTGCGCGGGCTCGTGATTGGCAAACGAGGTTGAACGAACGAAAAAAGTTCCCTTGTGTTTTGTCAACTTTCGTTTATTTTTATTTACAAACTTGTTTTTGGGGAACATGGACCTTGTGTGCGCGTAGTATTTTTAAGTTTAGTGTAAAGTCAATAGTTTATTAGTTAAATGGACAATGTTAAGTGTGTAAATACAAAACAATTTCAGTGTGTGGTGATTTACTTAACGAGGACCTATCGGCTACAATGCGGCCAGTGCGAAGTTTTGAATAAAAAGCTTCGCATCCTTTGTTTAGACGAAGACGCCTACGCTACGTTAATGAACGTATGAATCGTAGTACGCTGTACTACGAGCAATAAAAATATTTACAATGGACGGTGATAGAAAAATACACATCAGCGAAGGTGTTCCATTGAACTCGACAGGTGCGGCAAACATTTTTTTGAATACCGGTAAAAGTACTGCTAAACTAAATTCACCAGATGGAACTGTCATACATCTAAAAACAGGTGACTTTCTTTACTACAACATTATTAGACTAAGTACTTAGCTAAAAAGTGAATATAAAATACCATACACTAAACGTGTTATTTTTTTTACTATAGAGAAACCGGCTGACCTCGGCGTACACATAAACACAACGTTCTCTGTTGCGTCTTCCAAGAAAATAAGGCTGCTATTTATACTAAACTTTTTGTTCAGTATAATATGTATGATACTGAGCTGTTCTGTCGCGTTATACTACTGGAATGAGATGATATCAATGAGGAAGCAACTAGACTTGATAAGGGACCAGTTCCTATTACAGAGTCTGGGCCCAGATAAGGGACAAGCCAGCCCCCTGGTGTACCAAAGACCGCTGCAGGCTAGTGATGTCCGTCACCCCAGGATGGACAGTTCCAAAGATGAGGATATTTTACCAAACCCAAAGAAGTACTTTGTAGAAAATTTGGGGGAAGATATGCTATTAGTGGACTCAACCAGAAAAATCCCCAGGCGGGAAAATCTTCCAGTCCATGATCTGTCTCTTGCTTCCAAAGGTAAACTTCTTTAGAATAAAATTATATTAAAAAACAAACAACTTATAAGTTTCAATCTTAATAGGATTACTGGTAGAGAATTCTCAACTCATCTTGCTTATTAATTTATTTTTCCAAGTAAGAACTTAAATTTTCTCATTAATACATTAAATTACTTACAAGACATTAATGTTCTTTGCTCAAATAGTTATTATTCAACAAAATAACAAATAATAAATCTCATTACAGAGCCATTAGTAGTCCATTTCAATGGTGCAGTCCGAGAAGTCAACATGGGCACACAATGTAAGTACTCATTATCACTGTTTATTCGTAACTACATCATAAAAATTAAGTGTACAATGACTGCTACTGACTACTGAGAAACATCTAATGAATGTCTTTTCTCATGGTAGTAGCAGTAGCTTATTATTATATTATTTAGATTTAACTTGCTTAACTAGTTACTTATTAAAGTTTTTAGAGAGAAACCTAGATAATGAATATAAACTTTATTTACTTCAATTCTAAAATAAGTGGTTTCTTTACTTTACCCTCCCTCTACTGGTTTCTTTACTTTTATGTTTTTTTTTAGTTTTCTATGTTTAATACCAAACTAAAATCTAGAACCATAGGAACTCACATACAAAATATACAGACTTGCTGTTAGATAAACTTTTTAAAATATCCAGTACAAAACCAAACATTTAAAATTGTCCCCACATACGCCCATATCACAAGCATGCGATTAATATGATAATTTATGTGTACGGCTGCCGCTCACAGGATGTATGTATGTTTGTATAGCTTAGTGCCAATGTACATGTATAAAATACCCAACGGTTCTAAACTTTATGGCTCAGATAATAAAGTCTTCAGTTTAACAGCTTTTTCTATGGAAGAGCATAATTTCTATTCATCAGAGTAAAGATGTGCACACTATGATTGTAATTGATGTCATCTTTAATTAAGAGAGCAGACTTGGTTGGCGAATTCTTATTACATTTGATTTCATTGTTATGTGTGTATGTAAGAAAGGAGCTGTCCTAAGCCATGAAAGTTTTGACTTCATTATTGATGAAATTTATGTCACTTTTCAGGCATAGAAATAATGGGTGATCAAAAGATCGGCGATAGTTTAATGTCCATCTTTAACAGCCATAAAATACTAAACATTAGGAAGATAGAAGTATTACCTAAATAAGTGTAATTTGTAGGTTGATGGCGACGATACATTTTTTTTATGTAGGGTACAAATTACTAATATTTCCGTTAACCCCTCATGCTAAGCTAAAGTATGTTTAAGCTCGTATAGTAGGTTCACCACAATAGACCAGCAGCGGCGTGGTTCGAACCCGCGTTCCTCGGATCTCGATTCGGGCAGTCCAACAACGATTCGTACCTTTCTTTGCGCATACGCATGTAATAACACTTGCGTAGACATAGACAGCGTGCCGCCATCGCTACCGCTGCCACCATCCGTTCAAAATATAACGCCGAGAAAGAGGCTTTCTATTTAATAGACCACAAACGGCAGGCACAACGCGGCTGATTATACAAGTAGAGTACTCTTTTAAAGTCTGCTATAATAATCTGCCATAAGTTATGTATGTGGTCTATGGTACTGAAGCCTTTTTGGAAACGGCTTGTCGGGAAGGCATGTCGTTAAACGATCCGTAATGACTCTCGAAAACAGCTAGTAGACATGGCTTCAAACCGAGATAGGATTTTGTCGCCTTTTTTGAAAAAAGTATCACGATACTTCTGGACCATGTCGTAGGCGTTTTCCGCCGAGTAAAACAGAGTCGAATAGCTTTTGAAGAGCCTTTAGGGGCGTTCCGCCTACGCGCCTGCTTACCGAAACTCAGCCATCATCCATCATCACCTTATTGTATTTCAGCTGTATGAGTCCCATTTGAATCTCGTACAGACTGAGGTCTGGTATACCTTTGGTATAGTTTCGGATCAATCTCTTGGGTCTTCTTATTGACTGGTGTGCGTACAAGAGCTTCAACATGCCTCAACTTCAAGCCTGAGCTTGGACGAAATGACTTTTCCACTCTCGGCCTTCAGCCTGCTCAGTTGGCTTTAGCCCACAGGCAGATCCCCTACGAACACTTTTGAGCCCTTGTTACGCTCAATCGCCTCTTTAATACGGCTTGTATTAAATTGGCGCAGGTCGCGAGTCAAAAATTTGGAGATCTGATCAGTATTTTCAGAGGACTGCAAAACCAAGTTTGGTCTTTCTTCCATAAGCTTATTGGTGAGGTCAGAGATCTTTTTGGTTCCTTTTGAATGACGGGCTTAGAAGGCCTTAGTAGACCTGTCTTTTGGACAATCTCGTCCTCACTTTCGCAGACTCCCAGCCATTCGAAATTATTTTGCAGCTCGAGCTGAAAGCTGTCGGGGTTTTGGAGCTGGGCGGAGCGTAGACTTCACCAGTCAATCTTTCGATCTTCAGTCTGATATTCAATGTTCTTACCATTCGGTGATCGCTTCCTGTCTTGGCTGAGGTGATCACAAAGACATGATCATTAAATATTATACTTTTTCGTCTAAAAGATGAAGTCAATCTCATTTTATGTAGCTCCATTGGGATATACTCGTAGCAATATCATATTACCTATACGTAACATGACTTCAAAAATCCGACGCCACCATGCCTAGAAAATTTTGACGGCGCACACCGTCTATTTATTTTATTTAAAATTTATAAATAAACTTTATTTTTTAATAAATAAATAAATCTTTGTTTTACTCACACAAAAATCGAACAGAGATGTTCATTCTTGTGTGAGTCTGATGCCTATGCTAGGTATTTAGTATACCTGTATAGGTCATCAAGCTCCCACCACCTCAGGTCATTATTCTCCATTATGGTTCTGTTCATTGATGTTTTTTCTGCTATTTAAAACCGGGTTATACTGATATTAAATATGTAGTTATTAATAGTAGGTATGGCTGATAATAAAAATAATCTCGTCTGTAATGTCGTCATGCCGAGAGGGCAAATAACAAAGACATAAAAAATACATGTAAATAATACATACTACAACAAAACAGGTGAAAAAGAATGCGCTTCGCATGAAAATATACAGGATGGTACAGGGTTAAAGTGTGGTTAAATGTAGGTTATAGTGTCATTTCAATTTATATAGTACCTAGGTAGTAGCACAAATCGTCAACAAAAAAGTACTACTTTACTTCTTTAACGGTATTACCGGACCGATTTGAAATATTTTTTCACCAATAAAATCCTACATTATTTCTGATGAACTTAGGCGGTACGAAGTTCGCCCGGTCGGCACTACTATGTTTTAATTTGTATTTAATTTATACCTTTATAGCTGAACGGCTAAGTTAATAATTACTTGAAACCGTTTGAACAAACTCCTTTCACAAGTGCTGATTTAACGAGTGTTTATTGTCTCATAATCATCGATTAGGTCAGACACACTTAAAATCTATATTTGTAGCAATTACCTACAATAAATCTATAAATTATCTTATCTTTCTATCTGATAAACCAATGTTGTGGTGAGTAGGTTGATGTGAATATCTAGTTCATCATCATTACAATTTTTAGTCTTCTAAGTATTTTTTTAATTACAAATAATTTTACCTTGAATCATTCATTGGATCCTATCAAAAAATGATTAAAAAGAAAACATTAATAATTAAACACATTAAAAACAAGAAACTATGTAACCCTTAATAATAATTATCATTAGTTTAATTACTTATTCAATTTGTAAATGTTGCTCAATCAGTTTCTTTATTAATAAAAATACGATAATTATTAAAAATACAATTTATAAAGGAGAGGTAATTATTTAGTAAGTACTTTAATGAGTTCAATAATATTAGGAATAGCCAATGACCTAATAAGGTAAAAAAAAATTACCCAATTTGAAGTCAGTAAAATGCGCGTATTTTGCTTGCGGTTTATGTGGTTAAAATGTCACATATTAAAACGTATAGTATAGAGAGAAACAATAATAATGCTCAAGTATAAGTATATTATGTTTTTGTTGAAACTGTGATAATAACACTCATAAACTTTACTATTTATAACCACGTCCAATTCAATGCCATGAAGAATTATAATGTCTGTCTGTCACCGTCATTCATGCTGGCATCTCGCTTTGCGTGAGAGAGATGGTAACATTCGAAACTTCGGATAACGTTTTCAGAGTAACCCCGCAGCTTATAGGGGAGACTCTTTACACTAACATCCTGTATACCAAAAAATACATATCGGCAGGCTTGCAGATTTGAGTTTAGTAACTTGTTTTTCTGCTTCTTCCTGTGTTACAATAACATGAATTATTATTAATTTCTTTTTGCCTGTGTGTTCCATCCAATGTAGGTAACAAAAGATACAACCCTGAAGTCAAAATATTTTTTTAGATTGAACTTTTATTATTTCAAATCGCGATGATCGTAAAAATAATCAAATACGTAATAGGTATAGGACCTATGATAAGAACAGACTTGCTAAATTCTTGCTAAAAAAAAGTGGTCTTATTTCAAACATCAAGCACAAAATGAACTTTAAAACTTGCCTAATCTAAGGCCAAGTCTAGACTCAACGAACTTGATGGCCTTGGGAGTTAATAAGGTGTTCTTTTTGTTGCAGCGTTCGTCGGGCCGTGGGTTCGCGACATGGAGATATCCTCGAGAAACAGCGAGACCAAAATAGAACTCAACGACAATAGTAATTACGTTACCATCAAGGAGGAAGGACTGTACCTCGTTTACGCACAGGTGAGATTTTTAATTTACAAAATTTACTTTTCTACGCTAATATTATAAAGAGAAAGGATTTGATTTTCCTTTATTTTGAATAGGCCTTATGTGTTCCTTTTCTTTCTGTTCTGTTCTTTGGTGTGCAATAAAGAATATTTATTATTATTATTAATAGGCTTCTAAGCTACTGGACCTCTTCTTTTTCTTTGTCCTATAGCCATTTCCCATGATTTGTGGTCGGTTCTCCTCGTTCTGGGGCGCCAGGACAGTCTGTCCTGAGTTGTCGACGAAATCCAGTTCGTAACTACTGAACCGATTTGAAAAAATCTTTCACCATTAGAATCCTACACTATATTTGATGAACATAGGCGGTTAGCAGGGCCAGCGTTTATAAAAGATGTAACTAATTCTAATTCTCATAGGAAACTATTTTGTCTTCACACGAATGGCATAAACAAATTTAATTTAAAAGCAGCCTGTATTAATTCTATTGATAAACGTTGACTTTTCGCCCCTTCGATATAATCTTGCATCAGTGCGTGACCCAGGTTTTTCCAGAAATTTATCTTTGCTTCGTGACCAAAATAAATAGGTATGTATGTATAATAGTATGATTCATGTGTAAATCTTTGTATGCGCGTGATATTAACTTTTGTAACAAATCTAAATCAAAATTACGCGAGAAAACCACGGGCACCTTTACTGTATTTTTGTAGATAATTGGTACCTAAAGTACGGCCAACTAGCAGCGATACAAAAGGTCGATACGACTGTCGAGTTGACAATATATCCTGTCTCTTCCCATCTTGTGTATTTGTCGTAATGTCTCGTTCTCCTGCCAAAATATGTCAAAGTCAGACGGGTTTCATCCATGACATTGGGTTTGTTTACATTTGGTATCGCTTCTCGTTGGCCGTACAGTACTTATTATTATTCTGTGGCCGTACTTTAATTAATTAGTGATACGTAAGTAATTATAAAAAAAACTGAAGGAAAATAATACCTACCAATTATTTAATTCAATTTTAAACTGTTTCTAACTATAAAAATTAAGTTAAAACCATTCAAACAGAGTACTTCTTACTCGTTCATTGGCCAAAATCCAAAGGTACTAATAATAAAACCGCGTGATTATAAAATTGTTTATAAACAATTTTAAAGCAAACTGCAGTAAGAGATAATAATAATATAGCGAAATATTATGTTTTAATATTGTTACTACGATAAGCGAATTGCGATGACCTTTTTGGCTGGGACAGTCCGTCCGTTATAGTATCTACTGTTAATATACGTATAATTTCAAAATTATTACCAAAATAAGCGTGATGATAAGAAACATCTATGTTCCGCTTGTTATAATAATATTTTAATCCACACTTGCAGCATTTGCCTGTAAAATAAATTAACAGAATCGAATAAACTTAATGGTCGGGTCGCTTTCAAATGTCCCAGGTGAGAGCACCTTACTGGATAGATTTAAATTACAGAAAGCATGAAGGATCGAACAATCGTGGTACTAAATGTATGGAATTTTCGGATAGATCCAGTTTATTCTGTAACCTATTATGTATTGGTACCGTCAGACCCGTGTCTTACTATTTTAGTTAAAATGGAACGCGAAAGTTTAAAATCTTATTTTATTGGTACCGTTTGATCGTTAGATCACTTATCGTTTCCACCCTACAGGGTGGAAACTTATACTTACTACTATACTTATAGGCTATACATAGCCTATAGCCGTTCTCGTGCGCGCGCTATTTACCAACAAATAATTTTTCAAAACGGACCAGAACCAGTGCAGAGACATAATGTATTATTAGTATAGATTCCACGGGACCTACCCTAATGTCAGTCCCTCGCCTTCTTAAGATTACATGGGAAATTTTCTTACCACAAAGTTACTAACTATTACATACACATAATGTGTGTATAAGTAAATGATTAACCAGCAACACTTGGTACTGACTCACGTCCTGCATTCTTTCAATCGGAAACTAGACAATCTAGAATATTTAATTTTATGTTCTAGCTTACATAATCAATGTAAATAGTTAAATGATTAGTTGTGCAGATTGTTCAAGTCTACATTATGCATTTGCCTCGCAACAACTTAATGTTAACAGAGAAAAATTAAATATGTAGTAGTGTATGTAGTTGTCAATAGGTGCTTAAGTTTTTTTTAAAGATTATCAGTAATTTGTTTTGTAAAGGTAAATGTGCTCATGTTACGAGTAGGTTCGTTCGTTCGTTCGTTCGTTTCAGCCGAAAGACGTCCACTGCTGTCCCCCACTATTTGTCCACCACTGGTGGACATCGAGAAAAAAAGTTGCAATGTCCACCAGTGGGGGACAGCGCTACTGAAATCTTCCCGTTGGGCCCTACTGGTGGACACTGAGAAGAAATGAGTTGCTCTGTCCCTCAGTGGTGGACATCGAAACCAAAAAAGTTCCGTTGGCCCCCACTATTTGTTTTGTTTTCGTGATTATTAAAAAATAAGCATTTTTAATTGCTATCAAATTAATATAATTCTCAGTTTTTTAACATAATATGAAGGTTGACCTTCGCGTTGATATTAATAGTGTAAGGTACTTATACTTTTATTTTCATTAAGCCAGTGCATCTTATTTTTTTCCGATGCACACATTCCCACACTTGTAATCCACTATTATGCTTTCTTTTTAAATTGTGTTGATGGCCTGCAAGCAAAAGAACTTTCCCACCTTTCCTATTTATGTAAACTTTTTCAATTTGTCGTGAACTAGATCCTGCAATTTCCGACATTGTTGGGNCCCATTTAGACCGATAATTATTTTTCTAAATAAAAATTGATTTTTCAGTAAAAACTTACAAAAGGAAGCCTAAAAACCATGAAAAAAATATTTAAAAAAATAATCCATAAATAGGGGGCCGTGGGGAGCCCGTACCATATAGGGTACAGTAGGTCTATAAGCATGCAAAACATAGTCGTTGTTCAAAGAAGATTTTTATTTATTTTTGTATGATATACAATAAAAATAAAATCACATAATCATTCTGTGATACTAACCACATTTTGGTTCTTTTTTCCTACCTTCTCCGAAGTTAGTGAGGATAGCTGAAGAAGACTTGGCTTCTTTTGATTTGTTACGTTTAGTGCTATCCATAATCGCATTTAGCAACACGACGATGGATATTTAGCAAATCCATCGAAGAAAACTCTGAGGGTTATTATTTACATTGACACTATCTTTATCGCCTAAATTTTCGTCAGTCTGATCATCATTAGTGGTCATCTGACAAGACAGCAGTAGAAAAATACCAAGATTGCTTTGTTTGATGAAATTATCAAATTTTTCACGAGTTGTGGCAATATAGTGAAGCATCAATAGCCTAAAACAAATAAAAATAATAAAAATGAAATTTTATTTTTTCGCATGATTTGCTTATGCATAGACCTACTGTACCTTATAGGGTACACCTATTTTAGACTAGAATAAACCGTATAAAAATAATCTTAATAATATTTTTTTGTTGTCATGATATCTATTGTACTCTATTTTTAAAATAAAATTGATAAATAACATAATTTACCATGAATAATAAGAAATTATACCTTCTTAAATACATTGTAAATATTTTTTTGGTTTTCTGTCGAGGAATTTCATAAATATTTCCGAAACGACTTGTTAAAACATATTTTTAAATATTTTTATGTAAAATAATCACTTTAAGCTTACTGTCTCAATCATTTTTACAAGTTAACAACAATTTGGTACTTCGAAATATTTTCAAAAAGATACCGTACCACATAGGGTACGATAGGGCTAAATGGGTTAATAGTAGGTATGGCTGATAATAAAAATAATCTCGTCTGTAATGTCGTCATGCCGAGAGGGCAAATAACAAAGACATAAAAAATACATGTAAATAATACATACTACAACAAAACAGGTGAAAAAGAATGCGCTTCGCATGAAAATATACAGGGTGGTACTGGTTTAATTTGTATTTAATTTATACCTTTATAGCTGAACGGCTAAGTTAATAATTACTTGAAACCATTTGAACAAACTCCTTTCACAAGTGCTGATTTAACGAGTGTTTATTGTCTCATAATCATCGATTAGGTCAGACACACTTAAAATCTATATTTGTAGCAATTACAACAAATCTATAAATTATCTTATCTTTCTATCTGATAAACCAATGTTGTGGTGAGTAGGTTGATGTGAATATCTAGTTCATCATCATTACAATTTTTAGTCTTCTAAGTATTGTTTTTTTTAATTATAAATAATTTTACCTTGAATCATTCATTGGATCCTATCAAAAAATTATTAAAAAGAAAACATTAATAATTAAACACATTAAAAACAAGAAACTATGTAACCCTTAATAATAATTATCATTAGTTTAATTACTTATTCAATTTCTTTATTAATGAAATACGATCATTATTAAAAATACAATTTATAAAGGAGAGGTAATTATTTAGTAAGTACTTTAATGAGTTCAATAATATTAGGAATAGCCAATGACCTAATAAGGTAAAAAAAAATTACCCAATTTGACGTCAGTAAAATGCGCGTATTTTGCTTGCGGTTTATGTGGTTAAAATGTCACATATTAAAACGTATAGTATAGAGAGAAACAATAATAATGCTCAAATATAAGTATATTATGTTTTTGTTGAAACTGTGATAATAACACTCATAAACTTTACTATTTATAACCACGTCCAATTCAAGGCCATGAAGAATTATAATGTCTGTCTGTCACCGTCATTCATGCTGGCAATTGGCATCTCGCTTTGCGTGAGAGAGATGGTAACATTCGAAACTTCGGATAACGTTTTCAGAGTAACCCCGCAGCTTATAGGGGAGACTCTTTACACTAACATCCTGTATACCAAAAAATACATATCGGCAGGCTTGCAGATTTGAGTTTAGTAACTTGTTTTTCTGCTTCTTCCTCTGTTACAATAACATGAATTATTATTAATTTATTTGTGCCTGTGTGTTCCATCCAATGTAGGTAACGAAAGATACAACCCTGAAGTCAAAATATTTTTTTAGATTGAACTTTTATTATTTCAAATCGCGATGATCGTAAAAATAATCAAATACGTAATAGGTATAGGACCTATGATAAGAACAGACTTGCTTAATTCTACTTGTGGTCTTATTTCAAACATCAAGCACAAAATGAACTTTAAAACTTGCCTAATCTAAGGCCAAGTCTAGACTCAACGAACTTGATGGCCTTGGGAGTTAATAAGGTGTTCTTTTTGTTGCAGCGTTCGTCGGGCCGTGGGTTCGCGACATGGAGATATCCTCGAGAAACAGCGAGACCAAAATAGAACTCAACGACAATAGTAATTATGTTACCATCAAGGAGGAAGGACTGTACCTCGTTTACGCACAGGTGAGATTTTTAACAATATTTACTTTTCTACGCTAATATTATAAAGAGAAAGGATTTGATTTTGCTTTGCCCGCGTGGAATTTTGTCTGTCACAGAAAAACTTTATCGCGCGCGTCCCTGTTTCAAAAACCGGGATAAAAACTATCCTTTGTCCTTTCCCGGGACTCAAACTATCTCTATGCCAAATTTCATCAAAACGGATCAGTGGTGAAAGCAAGACAGACAGACAGAGTTCCTTTTGCATTTATAGTATAGAATATTATAAATGCAAAAGGAACTATACAGGGTGTCCCAAAAACAATGGATAACCCTGTAACCATCGATAGGCCTCGCCATGGTCTCCCTAACGTCCAATTTTGACCCCAGTAAATATATCACCGTTTTCCAGATTTTTAAGTTTTTGTGCATTTTTACAAAATTGCCACCTGCGATTACTTTTTCTCATGCCATTTCTACAAATGAGGATACTTTTCAATCTAGTTTTGTTCCTTATCACAAGGGATAGTTGGGCTATCAAAAGAAAAGATTAAAGTTCAACAAACTAGTTTAAAACTATGAAAATTTTAAGAAATTGCAGAGAAGAAGGAAAAATTAATTCATTGTCTTGCACTTTTGATCAGCCGTCGTGTAAAAAAAATGTAGGAAGACCATCGTGCCCATTACCTTAAAAACTTCCTTGGTTAATTGAGATTCTAAAAAGGTATCACAAGCCTATGTAGGTATTCTGTGTTATTTTTATCTTATGGCTACTTGAATAGCAACTAGTATGAAAACTGCAAAAATGAGTTTTTCTCGTAATAGTTAAACTAGGACTGCATAGTGGCATTAAATACAAATGGATAATTTTTAGCGTAGGAATTTTAATAAAGCAACATTTTATCATCATCATCATCATCATTTCAGCCATAGGACGTCAACTGCAGAACATAGGCCTGTACCCCAATGATTTCATAATGACCGCTTGGTAGCGGCCTGCATCCAGCACCTTCCTGCTTACCTTTATGAGTTCGTCGGTCCACTTTGTAGGTGGACGTCCTACGATGCGCTTTCCGGTACGTAGCCTCCACTTTAACCCTGCTGCCTCAGTTCTGCAAACTACTGTGCCCTGCACATTGCCACTTCAGCTTGCTGATCCGTCGAGCTATGTCAGCGACTTTAGTTCGTTTAAGAATCTCCTAATTTCTGATACGGTTTTGTGAAGAAACCCGAGCATAGCCCCTTCCATAGCACGCTGTCCAAAAAATCCACGTTTCCGAGCCGTGTATTATCACGGGTATCTGTCTTTAGGCACATTTATAAGGTTTAAAACAAAAATTAAGTAATCACAAAAACGCAGAACAGGCTACGTACCGGAAAGCGCATCGTAGGACGTCCACTTACAAAGTGGACCGACGACCTGATAAAGGTAAGCAGGAAGGTGCTGGATGCAGGCCGCTACCAAGCGGTCATTATGAAATCATTGGGGTACAGGCCTATGTTCTGCAGTTGACGTCCTATGGCTGAAATGATGATGATGATGATGATAAAATGTTCCTTTATTAAAATTCCTACGCTAAAAATTATCCATTTCTATTTAATGCCACTATGCAGTCTTAGTTTAACTATTACGAGAAAAACTCATTTTTGCAGTTTTCATACTAGTTGCTATTCAAGTAGCCATAAGATAAAAATAACACAGAATACATAGGCTTGTGATACCTTTTTAGAATCTCAATTAACCAAGGAAGTTTTTAAGGTAATGGGCACGATGGTCTTCCTACATTTTTTTTACACGACGGCTGATCAAAAGTGCAAGACAATGAATTAATTTTTCCTTCTTCTCTGCAATTTCTTAAAATTTTCATAGTTTTAAACTAGTTTGTTGAACTTTAATCTTTTCTTTTGATAGCCCAACTATCCCTTGTGATAAGGAACAAAACTAGATTGAAAAGTATCCTCATTTGTAGAAATGGCATGAGAAAAGTAATCGCAGGTGGCAATTTTGTAAAAATGCACAAAAACTTAAAAATCTGGAAAACGGTGATATTTTTACTGGGGTCAAAATTGGACGTTAGGTTAAAATTTAATAATATGTAACTAATTCGATTTCTCATAGGAAACTATTTTGTCTTCACACGAATGGCATACACTATTGATAAACGTTGACTTTTCGCCCCTTCGATATTATCTTGCATCAGTGCATGACCCAGGTTTTTCCAGCAATTTATCGTTGCGTTGTGATCAAAATAAATATGTACCCTACTAATATTATAAATGCGAAAGTTTGTATGGATGTCTGGATGTCAACATCTCTTTCACGCAAAAACTACTGAATGGATTTTGATGAAACTTTACAGTAATAGTTTATAACCCAGAATAACGATCTGTGACAAACTAAATTTCACGCGGGTGAAGCCGCGGGCAAAAGCTAGTTTATAATTATTTAATTCATGTGTAAATCTTTGTATGCACGTGATATTAACTTTTGTAACAAATCTAAATCAAAATTACTCGAAAAAACCACGGGCACCGGTACTGTATTATTGTAGATTGGTAAATTATTGATACATAAGTAAAATAATAATAAATTGAAGGAAAATAATATAAATTATTTAATTCGTAGTTTTAAAACTGTTTCTAACTTCAACAATTAAGTTAAAACCATTCAAATAGTCAGGTAATTCTTACTCATTCATTGACCAAAATCCAAAGGTAATCATAATAAAACCGCGTGATAATAAAATTATTTAACTATAAACAATTTTAAAGCAAACTCCGCAGTAAGAGATAATAATAATATAGCGAAATATTATGTTTTAATATTGTTACTACGATAAGCGAATTGCGATGACCTTTTTGGCTGGGACAGTCCGTCCGTTATAGTATCTACTGTTAATATACGTATAATTTCAAAATTATTACCAAAATAAGCGTGATAATAAGAAACATCTATGTTCCGCTTGTTATAATAATATTTTAATCCACACTTGGAGCATTTGCCTGTAAAATAAATTAACAGAATCGAATAAACTTAATGGTCGGGTCGCTTTCAAATGTCCCAGGTGAGAGCACCTTACTGGATAGATTTAAATTACAGAAAGCATGAAGGATCGAACAATCGTGGTACTAAATGTATGGAATTTTCGGATAGATCCAGTTTATTCTGTAACCTATTAATTATGTATTAGTACCGTTAGACCCATGTCTTACTATTTTAGTTGAAATGGAACGCGAAAGTTTTTAATATTATTTTATTGGTACTGTTTGATAGAGCTCGTGAAGCACTTTCAGGATTAAAGTTTCATCAGGAAAAAACAGTTTTTCAATATCTTGTATACTTTATAAATTATCGAGTTAGACCACTTATCGTTTCCACCCTGTATAGCCTATAGCCGTTCTCGTTCTCTTTTCACCAAAAATAGGATTTTTCAAATCGTACCACTAGTCCCTGAGATATAACATATTAATAGTATAGATTCCACGGGACCTACCCTATTGTCAGTCCCTCGCCTTCTTAAGATAATTTTTGTTTTTACCACAAACCACAAAGTTCTTTAAAGTATCTAAGTATTAAATAGTTATGTGTGAAGTAAATGATTAATTAGCAACACTTGGTACTGACTCACGTCCTGCATTCTTTCAATCGGAAACTAGACAATCTAGAATAATTTAATATTATGTTCTAGCTTACATAATCAATGTAAATAGTTAAATGATTAGTTGTGCAGATTGTTCAAGTCTACATTATGCATTTGCCTCGCAACAACTTAATGTTAACAGAGAAAAATTAAATAGGTGTTTCACTTTGAAGATGAAGTTAGATAATTACTAACTACAACAGGTTAGCTTTCAAAACCTTTAGGCTCGCCAACGATTACATGTCACCCCAGAAATCACTTTTGACAGTCTCGCTGTTCCAATCCAAAACGAGTACCTACTATGCTAGTCGCATCTCCCCAGCATCGTGTAAATTACTCGTACGTAACATTGGATTCCCTACTAGGTAGGTATATTCTTGAGATTCATACACAAACAGCAAAGAAGAGTATTAAATTACGAGTGCTTGAACAGCAGTCATACGGGCGAAAGCTCGTCAAGCTAAACACTGTGCCAGCTTATGTAGTTGTCAATAGGTGTTTTAAAAGCCCATCAAGTTTTTTTTAGATTTTATTAGTAATTTGTGTCGTTAACCCCTCGTGGTAAGGTAAATGTGCTCATGTTACGAGTAGGTTCACCACAACAGTTTATAGGCGGAGGGGTTCGAACCTGCATTCCTTGAATGCCGAGTCGGCTATTCCGACCCCTTCACCGTTTGGCTATCGTGGCATCGCTAATCCTCAAATTCAACCATCAAAATAAAATATCGAAAACTAGTCATATGCTCTCTAGCGCAGGTGCTATAGGATCATTCTTATATTTTCTTCTTGTCGTGTCGACAACACCTACACATTGTCAGCCCAAAACTCCGCTACAAGAGTGGCGTTGTCAGTAGCCTTAATTAAATCCTGCGTCCAGTAGTTTGGACACGTAGGAACTTTCTATTAAAAATTGACATTCTTACTAAACAGATCATTCTTCTTTCCAGGTAGTGTACTTAACGCAAAGCCCCAACTGTTACTTCCTCTGGGCGCGGCAGAATGGGCAGGCGCCGCGACTTCTGACCACGTGCGCGAGCGGCGACGACTCGTCGCGGCGGCCGCTCGACAAGTCGCAGATCTCTTGCGCCGTGCAGACTGTCGCACGACTGTACAAGGGCGACATAGTCAACGTCGCCCAGAGAGAACAGAACAAAACTCTCTGGCTCAGACCCGGATACTCTTACTTCGGATTCATCAAACTAAGTTCCTAGCGAGGCTGTGAATATCATAAGAATACAATCGGATTATTTAAGGTTTAATCCACTGAAAAACGGATGTAAAAATGGTGCTATTTAGAAACGTAAGACGGACAAAGAACTTGGAAGTGATTGGAGTGCCATATGTACGTTAATCGATTGCATACATCACATTGCATTGTATAGTAATCGTATTTAGTCACTTGTTACGTTAAGCCGCGAACAATGAATGATTGTTTAGGAATTCAATTTACATGTTAATATAACATGCTCAATTTGTTTATTTGTGTAATAATTAGGAATATGTGATCTCTCTAACGTCGGTCGAAGATTACCCCACATTTCGCGATCGTAGACCGTGTTTTGTTTTGTTTTGACAAAGTTTTTTTATTAAAACCAGCAGATGAAGCTTTTTTAACGCTTAGCTGCCATATGGGTTAAATACATAGGATAAGGATATTATTTTTAAGCTATTTAATCAATACAAAAAACTTCTGAGTTTTACAGAAGTTATTGTTTATCAAGGCGCAAAAATTATTGGAGGAAGAAAGGTCTTTACGGTCTTATTTTATTGAAATAGTTAAAATAAAAACTTCCCAAGAACTTATTTTCATGAATGTAGTTAATTTAGTTGCAAAATAATTTTGTTAGTAAGTAGACACTTAAGTATATTTACGTTTCCTAGTCCATATAATATTAATTAAGTTGGAAAAAACACACAATTCTTGAAAATACGTATACAAAAGTGAATAGTGTAAATCCCTAATTTGTAAGAAACATTTGTGATAAACATATTGCAATTTATTAATTCTTAATTATACTTAGTTATCTTTGTATATGTAAAAACAATGTGTTATTATTTAGTACTTTTGTACGAATTTGAGTGTTCCTTGTGTCTAACTGAGTAACGGGAAATTTGTAATAGAATTTGTTACGTTCGTGAACGTATTATTCATTTCAAGACTTCGGGAATTAACAATAAGTAATTGTTATTTTAATTTAGGGCAAGTTGTGACACATGGTTAACATAAAAACCGCATCATTTACCCACATTTACAAAGTAATTTAAATGTGAAAATGACATTTTGATAAAGATTTATTGATCGTGCCATCCACGAAGACGCGTCCTACCATTTTTTGGTCGAGGGAAGCGCGGAGTGCGGGGAGTTTGATCCGAGCAATCCGAGCGTCATTATTGTAGTGTGCGTGTGCACTCATGGATAACTAGCGTGTACCGATAACACTCAAACATTAGCGGAAGAATGGTGGGGCACGTCTTCATGGATGGCACGATCAATAAATCTTTATCAAAATGTCATTTTCACATTTAAATTACTTTGTAAATGTGGGTAAATGATGCGGTTTTTGTTAACCATGTGTACATAGATATAGTCATATTATTATGACACGACGCTCAAATTAAATTCAAACTCAATCATATTATGGTTAGGTCTGTCAATGGTCCAAATATTGAAATTCAAAATGAATCTGTGCTTGTGGTTGGATCTAGTTTGAGTGCAGTTTTGTAATACGGGCCCTACAGCTAGTTTCTGAATTGAGATTTGAAGCTTGAGAATGCTCATTATCTACTTAAGTAAGAACTTAAGCCTATTTTCGTTACTAAATTATGTGTAATTAGTGATTACTCAAGCTGAATTTTCAAAGTTGAATTATTCACAATTCAGGACATTCAGTTCATAATTATGTAGAAAATGAGTACACTCAAGCTAAAAAAAAGTTTATAATAATACAGAAACCAGGGGATAAAAATTATTAACTAGTTAAGAGATATTATCGCAGTCGAACATTACTGCCGACGCGACAGAATGAAAAATAAATACATATTATTATGTATACAGGGTGACTTGTAATGAGTGGACATCCTTGTAAGGGTTTATAGTACAGGTCATTTGCAACCAATTTAGTTGTGTATATGCCTAGGCAAAATTCAACCTTTTATCAGATATTTTGATTTTAATTTTGTATGAAAAAAACATACATATTTAAGGACTCTATTTTTAATTGCTTGGGAATAGTAACTGCAACTAAATAAGTTAAATAAATAATGTACTTTGTTTAGTGTTACTTTAGTAATTTAGTTAGAGTTGTCTCCTTATAAAATTTCCATACAAAACTAAAATCAAAATATCTCATTAATAGTTGACGTTTGCCTAGGCATATACGTAACAAAATTGGTTGCTAATGACGTAATGACCTGTTCTTTAATTCCCTACAAGAATGTTCACTCGTCACAACTCATCTTGTATAATTATTACTTGGTAATAAGTAAAGTGATCCTAATAATAAACATGGGATAATATTGGAAAATATTTGCCGATATTTCCCAGAGCTATATCTTAAATGTGTTAATGAGTTTGCTCTGGACATAATTTTGTTTGTCTCGTTTATGTGTATGTGTTTAGAAGTATAGGCCGTCCGCCAATAAATGTGCCTTATCTGAGTATTTACATGGTTTTATTTTCCTCAATTCTCAATTTTTGTGGTTGCCAATATCTTCGCATAATTTAATAAAAAAAGTTGACGTGTCGATTAGTGGTACATAATTATATTAAAGTACCTACATTCTACATAAAAACTAACTATACAAGGTGGAATTTTGTAAAGTATAAAAAATTTTACTCAAAAAAAAAATTATTTTATTTTTTAAAGGAATTTAACCAACTAAAATCTGTTAAAAATGACACCCTGTATTTTGATTGCATCGATCGTTAGGGTTAATTAGATGAAATCTCTCTAACAAACTTGATAAATGTAATGAAAGGAAAACCATGAAATTTAAAAAAAATACGTTCCGTTTTATTTCAATACGAAAAGATGCACCATTCGTAAAATTGTTTGTTATGTCAATATCAATGATGTCAATGTCACATAACGTATTAACCACAGATTAGAACGAAACTTATAACCTAAAAAGCAGCTGAAGAAAACTTGAAATATTGTTGTGGTATAATTTTAACTAAAACCTTTAATAATGTTAACCAGGTAAAAGGCCATACTTAACATTTCCTATATAAATATTAGATCATTATTGCAGCAATACTCTGTCACAAATAAAATATTTCAGGTTAAGACTAGGAAAGAGAGATTTTCGTCTTATAACTCGTTTTTTATCCGATAAACCGTCAGACAACGATGGAAAAGCTCCAGAAAATAAGCCAGAAGAGCAAGAAACGAAAAAGATTTCTTCAGAAACTGAAAAGATTCAAGAACTGCTAAAAAAGATGCTGGCCGAACCTAAGATATCAGAGAAGGAGTATCGGGAGAAATTTGCCACCGCTCCTGAGATTCCCAGGTGGCGAAAGCCCAAAGCGGATGAAATAGAAGTAACAAGTGAAAAAATTGGTATGGAAACTCCTTCCAATAAATTAAACAACAACAACAAACAGATTGTTGCTATAGGCTTGTTCATACTAAGTATATTATTGTATCTTTACTTGATGTCATTTCAGAGGAAAGTATAACCAAAGCAGCTGGAGAAGTAGCTCAAGCCATTGGTGGTGATGTCAAACAAAATGAAGCAGAGCTTCTTTCAAAGGTGCTCGGCAAAATCAACCAATCTTCAACCACATTAAGGTTGGAAATAATACTTGTGAATGTTATATTTTAATAATTGGAATATGGCATGGTCATTTGCAGCCAGAGATAAACTTTCATCATGATTCTGAAGTTTTTAAAGATTCATTGTTTATATTTAAACTTAGCTGAAAGAAATTAAAATTGTTTGAATCTTCATTAAACATTATTTTTTGCAAGAATTTATTCAGTATTATATTGCAATCCTAGATATTACTGTCATGTCTAGTTCACATTTATTTAATTTACCTTAACATCTTCTAGTGACCTATTAATTGGCATGAAAGTGGACCGAAACACAGAAAAAGATGACACAGTCCAAAAGCCAACTAGAGGACAGCAAGTAAGACGTTTTGTGGAGAGACCCAACACAAATCAGCAAACCAAGTCTACTCAGAGAAGGCAGGTTGCTGATACTGAAAGACCTCATGGTAAAAGAAGGTATTATTGATTCTGACAATGATTTAGGCACACTGTTTTCAGACTAACTTTGTGAAAACTATTAAAAGAACTATTGATCTTTGAACTTTGATTTGATTGGAGATTTTTTGCTGTTACTATCAAGTTTTTTTCATGTAATGAGATCGTTCTTTCTTTAAACAAAATAAAATATTTTGCTAATACCACAGAATAATAATAAGTACAATCTCAATGCCATTAACAATATGGTGTAATTTAGCCTGTCTCAAGAGTCAAGCACCATTTTGTTGACAAATGTCAGTGATCGACACTGCGCCGAAGCTATAGGGCTGACTTCGGTAAAATGATGTGGTGTGAGGTGCCAAACTGCGGAAAATGGCGGAGGAAATACATGATGTAGCATGAATTATCATGAATAATATTAACTACTTATTTACCTCTCAGTGCCTTGAGGCAACTTAAAAAAGTACATTCTGTGTTTTTATTATTATTTAGGCAGTTAAATACTGCACAGTATTTAGTACACCATTTTCTTTATTTTCTTCCATCATACACAAGAATACGCGTGCGTGAGTCAATGTTCGCTCGTATGTGAGGCCTTGTCGAATAGTATCCTGTAGGTGGGCTATCGTGCGTGTTTTGTTTTCGATGTAAACTCGCGGAGATGAACAGGCCTGCTAATACTATGTACCTTTAGAGTAGGCGCACACCGTTGATTCTTCGTCGGCCGATAGTTTAGTCGGGCAGTTGATCAGTATGGGCATGTATGGGAGTGCGCATACTACGCCGATTCGATTTGGCCGATTCTTCATACAAATTAAAATCGGGTACAACTATCGACCAACTAAAAATCAACAGTGTGCGCCTACTCTTACCCTTACCTTTCTATGTCACACACTTCTTTGTTTCATATTTTTGTTAACTTTTACAGCATTCCTCAGCCTTCGTCAGTCAATATATTCAGTGGAGAACCCCTGGGCATCTTCAAGGCTAAAGGAACAAACTACGGGACTAAGCTCGACGTTTGGGACTCATTGAAGGAGAGAGAACTCACCCTGTCTACTCTGCAGCCCCCAAGTAATTACTTCCAGAAGATGATTTTGTGGACAGAACAGGGGAAAGTCTGGAAATTCCCTATAGATAATGAACAAGGTAAGAAAACATTTTTTTTGATAACACCTGTTTAACAAGATTCAAAAAATTAATAATATTAAGCTTTAATTTTAACAAACAAGAAAGATTAAGTTGCTTTCATATTTATAACATTAGTATTAAATATGACTAAAGAAACCCATAAACATGTTATAAAAAAAATGGCTGTGACATACGGACGGACAGACATGACGAATCTATAAAGGTTCAGTTTTTTGCCATTTGGCTACGGAAACCTAAAAATGTAACCTCTGTGTGCACTTTAATCGATTTAATAATATTTTTTATAGGTTTGGAAGAGGAACAGAGCATCCATTTCTCGGAACACGTGTTCCTGGACTCACATCTAGAAGGATGGTGCCCAAAGAAGGGCCCCATCAGGCATTTCATGGAGCTAGTATGCGTCGGATTGTCTAAAAACGCTTTCTATACTGTTCAGGAGAAAAAAGATCACATCATTTGGTACAAAGAATATTTTGAAAGCAAAAAGGACGTTCTCACGGAAGTTGGAGCTTGGGGCTCGAAGACGGAGACTAGCGAGGCTAGCACATAAAATTATTGTCATTGATATACATTATAGTTAGTACATAATACCAAAAGCTTTCTTTTATTTTAATATAGGTACGCCTAGACAATCCGTGTGGTATTGTAACTTCGCCCAATTTTTATTGCTGGAAATTCTGTGCACCCAATATTTTAGCTGGACTCTTTTTATTAATTCGTTATTCAAAGGGCGCTTTGACACGGACGTTAGTCGTCCGTTTGCAGTACCGCACACGGAATATTTTATGACAACAGCTTTGGAATAAAAATTACAATATCAACAGTTAGTGTGCAGTCGTACTAACGCACGACTTACGTCCGTTTCAAAACGCCCTTATTTGAAAGCGCCTAGTGGTTGAAGCTCCCTGGGCCTACTTCATAACATCTCTCTTAAAGGATCAAGTAAACGACAGTCACTTCTTTTTACAAAATTCATTCCGCGCGATTGTGTTCTTCTTGTGATACTTTAACTTTCCTCTCCTTACTATTAGGGATTAGTTTAGATACAGCTGACCATAAGTCGTCCACGAGTGGTGGTAGACTAACGAAACGACTACATTAGTAGAACCCTGAAAAACCACCTGCCTAGGATGACTTTTTAAGATGTTTTTAAATATCGTATGAAAAGGAAACTTGTTTGTGTCACGCATGCGAGGCAATCCCGCGTTCGTGTCGAAATCCGCATGATATTAAAAACAGCCTTAGATTGTGGTTGAATTAGGCCTGAATATTAATTGAATCTACATAAAGCATTCTAACTAATCTGCAAACAAGAATTCGGAAGTAAATAAAACAAATGTTCTTATTATTCCACTTTATTGCACCTAGAAGTACACTTCGTTGCTAACATTCGATGTGTTGGCACCACGGCCATTCGGAATCATTTCTTCGCTTACACATTAGTACACGTTTGTTATTTATTTATCATACATGCTAGAAAAATGTATAAGTTCCTCCTATATTACGGATGTTATTTTTCGCCATACTATCGTTAAACGAATCCTAGCATTCGGATTTATAAAAATCCCTTAGTTTGCTTAACAAAGAGAGCATCGAATTACTAGGTATCGACTATTTTTAAATACATACAAAGTAAAACATAACTTTTACAAACTTCTTTAATGCCGATATGACATCATAAAATGTTGTATCATTATACTAAAAGTACCCACCCAATCATTTTTGTCCATTATGTAAAAAAATCAAGGAACTCATTATATCTAAGTACATATTCTTATATTAATTAATCGTCGTATACGTTAAAAGCCTCCAAAAATGTTTCAAGTTAAGAAAAACATCAAAATAAATGTAAAAAATCACATCAATTTGTACAAAATTATGTCAAGTATGTACACAGTACGAGTTTTGAACAGTATTTATTTGAACAGTTTCGCTTGCGTTCAAGCATTCATTGAGCGCGTTTGCGCAGTTTGTCGTGAGGCCGAAATAATAATAATTCCATTAATTTTCTAGTTATAAAATTTGCATTAATAAAAAGCAAACGCACTGAAGCAACGCTTGATACGCAATGAGGCTTTTAATGGAGCTGCATTAAAACTTATTACATTACACAGTAAGTTCAAAATCTAATTAACAAAACATACTGTAAAATAACAAAGTAGGAAGTATTACAGTTATTGAAATGAGTATTTGTGCTATGAGTGAGCTATGTAAACCTTAAAGATTATAACAGTTTATTGTTTTAATTAGAAAATAAAAAATGTAGTATCAGATTTTTAAAATCTATTAAATCATAATACCAGCTTATAATTACATACGCAATGTTTCAAACATAAACATAAGTAAACAACACCAACATGTTCCTATTACCTACAACTCGAAAGTGAAATACATAATAGAATAGATGTAACCCCAATTTAAGAACACTAGCGGAAGACAAGAAGGAAGCCAGAGACCGATTGAAGAAATAATAAGATAATTTAATTATATAACTCCCACACTGTAGGACGATTGGCAAGATTTAATACTAATCTATCGTATCACTTGATTTTATCCTACATCATCCTAATTGTTTTTATACTTTAAAAAAGTCCGACACAGCTAAGGAATGTATTAATTAGTTACTTTGAACCTTCGCTGAAGATATTATGTAAAGATATAATATACATATAAACGGTAGAGAGACAAGAGACTGTTCAAGTCTGCTTCGCCTATTATAATAATAACCCATCAAACGAACTTCGGATCAATACACGTTAAACTACCTATTGTGTACACAAAATCAAAGACAGAATTTAAGATTTCTTAAAGCAAAAAGCTTGACAAAATCACTGTAAAGATAGCATTTACATTCAATTTAAAAGAAGCAGATTTTTAATGCAGGCACTGATCTCGGCATATTTTAAACAGAAATCGATGGTCAGTAGAAGCAAAATATTTTAAGTGTAAACGCGATATTTATTTATCTGTGTTAATTTTCTGGCCCAAGTTTGTGAACACAATAGCTAGGTTTAAGATATATCTAATAAAGAATACTATTCTACTCATAGCAACATTATATTGTAATTACTCACTATAAAACTTGTAAATAACTAATTATTGTACAAAGGGAATGATAATTATGTAAAACTATAGGAATACGTCGACAGCATTATTATTTAAGTTAAATGATTCCTTCCTGCTATTATCGGTACGTCATAGATATGTATGCTACACACCTCTTATTATGAATTAAAATGCATTGTTATTATTATAAAAATAATAGTAGTTTGTAACTTTGTAGTGTTTGTAAAAATCGAGTCAATAAAACTAAAATTAGTAACAACCACGCTAAAACGTCGCCTTTGTACGATCATTGTATTCCTGTATTAACATTATAACCAAAAGATAAACTTAGAGGTCAATTTGTGAATCACCGACACGTCAATTTAGTCGAAATTCTAAAAAACATTATGCTCATTTTTTTATTATTTAGTACAAATATTATTGCAATAATTTGGTGAGAGGTATTAAACAATGGACTGTTGTTAAACTGATATTCATTCATACACCACCGATTTGTGTACTAGAACTCGCATAGCAATGCCGTAAGTGTTGTTATGTGATTCCAAAATTGTCTATAACTGAAAAGGCATGCTATTTCTTCTGTTCTAGAGGTAAGGTACAAGGCTGCAAATAAAGTATTTTGTAAACAACCTTAAAATAATATTGTGAATTTATAATAATTGACATAAAATGCTTCTACAGCGGTCTTTTTAAATTGAAATTTTTTGGGAATCTTTGCAGGTCGGACATGTTTGTACAAGTAATGTTTGACATCAGTTGTAGTGCAGCACAATACCTCAATGTTGCGTTCAATATTCGGTTGAGTCGTTTACTTTTGAATTGACACGGTCGAGTGGACGGCTGCGGACTCACGGCACTAGCCGCTTACATCACCTGAAACAACAACAATAAACATATATTTAGTATTCTTAAACGTATGTAAAGGAACTTAGAACGTAGATTAAGTACTGTAGGTCTGGAGTTCCAGTAACATTTGAGAGGAGCGTCAGGCAAAAACCTGCCTTAACGTAATCAAGTGCACTGCAATATTGAACCTTAAGCTGTAGAACTTTAGGTGCACAATACCTGCAGGATCTGGCTGGCCTCGAAGGCGGTGCCGGGTAGCGGCAGCAAAACAAAAATTTGGGAGTCGCGTCAAGAAAAAACCTGCCTTATCGCAACTCCAAGTGCATTGCAATATTGAACCCTAACTCGTACAACCTAAGGTGCACAATACCTGCAGGATCTGGCTGGCCTCGAAAGCGTAGCACAGTAGCGCGTAGTCAAGCAAAAATTCGCCTTAATGTATCTCCGAGTACTTCACAATACTGAACCTTAAAGTGTAGAACTTAAAGTGCACAATACCTGCAGGATCTGGCTGGCCTCGAAGGCGGTGCCGGGCAGTAACACGAATATTTGGACTTTTGGAGTCAAGCAAAAACTTGCCTTAACATAACACCAAGTGCATTGCAATATTGGACCTTAACTTGTTCGCTCTAAAGTGCACAATACCTGCAGGATCTGGCTGGCCTCGAAGGCGGTGCCGAGCAGCAGCGTGACAAGAATTTGGGAGTCGCGTCAAGCAAAAACCTGCCTTAACGCAACTCAATGCCCTACAATAATGAACCTTACTTCCAACTGCGCTGCAAGATTGAAACTTAATTTGTTCACTCTAAGGCCTAAGGTGTACTACACCTGCAGGATCTAGCTGGCTTCGCAAACACTCAGAATCGCGTCAAGCAAAAACCGCCCTTAATGTAACTCCAAGTGCATTGCGATATTGAACCTCATGTCGTTTACCCTAAGGTGCACAACACCTGCAGGATCTAGCTGGCTTCGCAAACACTCAGAATCGCGTCAAGCAAAAACCTGCCTTAACATAACTCCAAATGCACTGCAATATTGAACTTTATGTCGTTTGCTCTAAGGTGCACATACCTGCAGGATCTGGCTGGCCTCGAAGGCGGTGCCGGGCAACAACACAAATATTTATTCGAGAAACCACAAAAAAAGTGACAGTTGCGTCAAGCAAAAACCTTCCTTAACGTATCTTCAAGTACTTAACAATATTGAACTTTATGTCGTTTACCCTAAGGTGCACATACCTGCAGGATCTGGCTGGCCTCGAAGGCGGTGCCGAGCAGCGTGACAAGAATTTGGGAGTCGCGTCAAGCAAAAACCTGCCTTAACGCAACTCCAAATGCCCTGCAATATTGGACCTTAACTTGTTCGCTGTAAGGTGCATAATACCTGCAGGATCTGGCTGGCCTCGAAGGTAGTGCCGGGCAGTAACACGAATATTTGGAGTCAAGCAAAAACTTGCCTTAACATAACACCAAGTGCCCTGCAATATTGAACCTTAACTTGTTCGCTGTAAGGTGCACAAACCTGCAGAATCTGGCTGGCCTCGAAGGCGGTGCCGAGCAGCGTGACAAGAATTTGGGAGTCGCGTCAAGCAAAAACCTGCCTTAACGCAACTCCAAATGCCCTGCAATATTGAACCTTATGTCGTTTGCTCTAAAGTGCACAATACCTGTAGGATCTGGCTGGCCTCAAAGGCGGTGACGAGCAGCAGCACTAACGTTTGGAGTCAGGCTAAAACCTCCTTAACGTAACTCCAAGTACTTCACAATATTGAACCTTATATCGTTACCCTAAGGTGCACAATACCTGTAGGATCTGGCTGGCCTCGAAGGCGGTGCCGGGCAATAGCACTAACATTTGGAGTCAAGTTAAAATCTGCTTTAACGTACTTCCAACTGCGCTGCAAGATTGAAACTTAATTTGTTCACTCTAAGGCCTAAGGTGTACTACACCTGCAGGATCTAGCTGGCTTCGCAAACACTCAGAATCGCGTCAAGCAAAAACCGCCCTTAATGTAACTCCAAATGCACTGCAATATTGGACCTTAACTTGTTCGCTCTAAAGTGCACAATACCTGCAGGATCTGGCTGGCCTCGAAGGCGGTGCCGAGCAGTAACACGAATATTTGGAGTCAAGCAAAAACTTGCCTTAACATAACACCAAGTGCCCTGCAATATTGGACCTTAACTTGTTCGCTGTAAGGTGCATAATACCTGCAGGATCTGGCTGGCCTCGAAGGCGGTGCCGAGCAGCAGCGTGACAAGAATTTGGGAGTCGCGTCAAGCAAAAACCTGCCTTAACGCAACTCCAAGTGCCCTGCAATATTGGACCTTAACTTGTTCGCTGTAAGGTGCATAATACCTGCAGGATCTGGCTGGCCTCGAAGGCGGTGACGGGCAGCAGCACTAACGTTTGGAGTCAGGCTAAAACCTTCCTTAACGCAACTCCAAATGCCCTGCAATATTGGACCTTAACTTGTTCGCTGTAAGGTGCATAATACCTGCAGGATCTGGCTGGCTTCGAAGGCGGTGCCGGGCAGCAGCACGAACACTTGTATTTAAAAATTTAAGAGTCGCGTCAAACAAAAACCTTCCTTAACTTATCTCTGAGTACTTCACAATATTGAACCTTATGTCGTTTACCCTAAGGTGCACAAACCTGCAGGATCTGGCTGGCCTCGAAGGCGGTGCCGGGCAGCAGCACGATGGGCGCGGCCACGCGGCCGGCCTCCACGCACACCATGTTTGGAAATTCGTCGTCGCCGAAGTCTGGGATCTCTTTCGCGTACTCGGCCCAGGGGTTCCAGATCACTGAGGAACAAGACATTACAGTTTTATGCACAAGTTACTAATAAGTTCCAGTTAACCCGTTCATCTGGGCGCAAACATATTTAGCTTATCTAAGCAGTCCGAGATTGACACTGTTGCAGTTGGGCTATTTGTCTCACAATGATATTGGTTGAAAGTGTGAGTTCACATTATTGGCACGGGAGCTGTGTATATTTTGATGCACTACAAAATGTTGAAAAAATAAGTAATACAAATCGGCCATTTTGACTACCCCCACTTCGGTGTGGAATAAATGTTTTAAAAACTGGTTTGAACGCATGCAAAAGTGTATAACTAACGAATTCTATCTTTGAATAAATAGGTTTAATAAACGTAGCGTTTAGTAGATTCCGAGCTTCGCAGTTTATACCGCCGCAGTTTTTATAATATAGACTACGCAAGTGTGTGCTCTAGAACTTTCGTCATTTGTCATTCCAATTTCCAATCACAAGATGGAATGCAAGATACTCTGATTATTATCAGAGTATCCACACCAAGCGCTGTGCTATTACATTGTTTTATATTATAAACAGGTACCTTTTTTGTAACAAGTCTGGCTGTTCCTGAGTGACTTAGGGGCTGTATGTAGTCAATTAATGAGAATGACAAACAAAAAATTCAAAAGCTAGTCTTATGAAATGCACACGATCACGGAGTAGAATTATTTTTGGCGTTAACGTGACTCCATTCTGGGAGTCGGTAGTCAATGCGAAAAATGGCTCAACGGTTGGAATGTGCAGGTGTCAAAATGTCCATACGGACCGGCTGTTAGTGTGGCAAAAAGTATGAACGTCGAAATGAGCAATGGTTAAAATGATCTGAAGTTAAAATGTCTTCGGATTTATTCAAACAAGCGTCTTATTGTATAATAGCTAACGTGAACACGTGTTTAAATGCATCAAGGTAAAAATATCCAAAAAAACTCTTTATTGACTGGACTACAAGAACATTGAACATTTTGACATTTAATTTTATTAATTTAATCATGGGCACAATATCAGTTGATCATTTTATCTATACATAATATGTGTGTGTCTATAACAATAGTAACTTACCTGTGTCAGGGAAGTTATACTTCTGTATCCGCATCTTGCGGCCGCTGACGACGTTGGTGATGATGTGCTCCTGCATGGTGTTCTGGTAGATGCGGTCCGTCCACTCGTTGATGGTCACCACCTCGCGCGTCTCCTGGTACACCGTGCCTTCCCGCGTCTGCGGACACCAAGTTTGACGTTATTGTTCATGTTGGAACTATATTGATTTCAAACATTATCGTTCATGTTACAATATTGATTTAAACTGAATATCAAAGGGTATAAAAATAATTACATCACTACACTAGTCATAGCTGGGACGGTTCAATGTTGGGCATCTATATTGTTTTATGGAGGTGTTTGTATTTTTATTTATTATATTTTTGGTTTAGTTTTTTCTTTTGTTTGTATTTATTTTTTGTGTTTTGTCTCATTTGTGTTCTTTGAATGTTTTAATGTTTGAAGCAATACACGCCGTAAGTATTGCTGCCGCTCTCTCCAACAATGGCTTCCGCAGAATAACAGCTAGATCCTACCTCAGCGCATGACACATGCCGAGCGGTGGCCATTTTTGGTTCTAACTCCCTTTACATTAGTTTACATCGAACTGTGTGTTAATTTTATGTTTGAACCAAAATAAATGATTTTCTTTCTTTCTTTCTTTCAAGTCCTGAAAAATACTTGGCACCTCCCGTATATCCATTCTATACGATAAGTGTCAACGGGATTACAATGAACACAGCCAATCCTGTGCGCCTCACTATAGCATGCGGCATGCATGCTCCATAACTATTCCTAGCCAGGTGTTTCTTTAGGTAGGCGTAAATGGTAGAGTTATGGTCTGAAAAAGCATTGGGGCGGAGCCGAGAAAGAATGCCAAGCTCTGACAATAACTCGCGGTCCCGTCCCAATAGACTTAAGAGGACACCGTCATGTCTTAGTGGGTAAGCCCCGTCTAGCAGGGAGAGCTCTACGTAACCACTGGTGTTCACGTACTATCGGCATCATATAGTTCGTGACACCCAAAGTGGCCAAAAAGTTAACAACACAACCTTATTACAACAGTAACTAACTGTAACAAAGACGTGTCAAGAACTTTTTGGATACTGGGCGTCACAAATTGTTTGACGCTAAAAAATGGTCTGAAAAGACGTATTACGTTAGGGCTTCCAATTTAGAGGCTTCGTGCCGGACGCCAGCTGCGCGTCTGCCGTGCGTTTGCAAGACGGCACACGGTAAATTGTATGACAACTGTGTCGAAATAAAATCGACAATTACCAATATGTTAGTTAGGCCAGTAGAATTAGCCTGCGGGTAACGAGCCATTGGACGTGGCGAGGGTCATTAATTATACACATATTTTCTACTTTGCCGAACATTTGCACGAGAACGGTTTGTTCAAAACATATGAATTTGGTCTTATTTAATGCAGGATTAAATGCCCTTCAACCGTCAGGAAGACCACTTTTCGATAGGGTAAGTCCTTTACGCGGTATAACCGGAAAACCGAAAAAGGCCTCTTTCGGAGGCCCCCACCACTTAAGCACAACTCCGTCGAAGTCGAAAACCTAGGAGAGTCTTTATGGGCAACTAATAAAGCCATTAAAGCACTAAAATCTTTAGTAGGAATTATTTCCGATTTAATTCATTTTTGTGTTTAATTCTACTGGCCTAAGTGTGCTGTCTTGCAAATGCACAGCAGGCAGTCGGCACGTAGCATCTAAATTGAAAGCGCCCTTAGTGTATCGAAGGTATACCTTGTCTATGAACATGCATCCGTGCATGCCGGTGATCTGACAGCGGCGCACGTCGGGCACCTTGAAGTAGGTGTGCAGCAGCAGCTGGCAGCTGAACGTCAGCTCCTTGCTCGGGTTGTACACGCCGATGTTGAAGTGCAACTCTTTCTCGCGCAGGATCAGCCGGTACGTCAGTCTGAACCTGGAATGGTGACAGGTTTAGCCACTTAATTGTCCCAGCGCAGACGAGAAAACCGATGAGATTATCAGCTATTTTCGCGCTCAAGAAACAAAAGATATTATGATCCCGTGTCAATAAAATAAAAGAGATACATAATATTATTAGTTGATCGATTATTGTTCGCACTGGCCAGCGAGGACGGGTCCTATGTTTTGTCGCAGCGATATGAGCTATCAAAGATAATATTTACAAAGCTTATTTTTTGAAAGTTTAGTTAGTTAGACAGTTTGCAATAAAGTCAACAGTCAGCTTTTACTGGAAGTGCCACATGATCTTTTTCATCACTGAGTCTGAGGCTTCTGAAGATGACCACGTCGCCGGTGGGCGCAGTAAAGACTACAAAAACATCCTTATAATGTAGTTCCTTGTCATCGCTAACTGACAGTGCACCATATAGCGCGTGAAGCTATCTAAAGACGGGACTCACTTCGCTACTTGGCGCAGTGAAGACTACAAAAACGTCCTTAAAAATCTTAAAATGTAGTTCCCTGTCATCACTTACTGGAAGTGCCACATGGAGTGCGTGAAGTCGTCATCCATGAGGCTGAAGACGGCCTCGACGTCGCCGCTGGGCAGCCGCTCGGGCATCTTTTCCACGTGCCAGCGCGCCACCCGCGCGAAGCCGTGCTGCGGCCCGAACGCCCATTGCCCGAACTGAGCTGTGGAAGGTTTGCCGGACCCGTTAGTGCATTTTTTAAACTTATCATCGTCTACAATATAAAAATGAATCGCAAAATGTGTTAGTAAGCGCAAAACTCAACAACGCCTGAACCAATTTTACCAATTCTTTTTTTTTAATGTTCGTCGAAGTCGAAGTCCAAGGATGGTTTTTACGGCGAGAAAAATTCGAATAATTTCCGGGAAAACATGTTTTCACGCGGGCGAAGCCGCGGGCGGAAGGCTATTGTTTATAAAAACTCATAAAACTAATTCATTTTTGCAAATACACGCTTTTGTATTAACCCTACCACTGCTTCGAGACAATAAAGGGGCCCAGTGCTGAGAAGAAGCAGCTCAAGAAAGTCATGCCCGTTTTCACCATCAATCCTTAATTTTTACGTGACCCCTATGAAAACAAAATTCCCGTTATGTGATACCATTGGTGTCACTTAGAAATTAGGGATTGATGGTGAAAACGGGCATCAGTCACTGTTTCTTAAATATTTAGGTGCAGGCCTTTACTATAACTATTTGCCTCTTGCAAATCAGAAAGGGTTGCTCTGCAGGGTTTAATGACCTGACGATGATTCATGTGTGTAAAACTACAGAAAATCATAAAAAGCAATTCTCATTTCTATTCATTTTTTGTTTGATATATTTTAAGGATTCATTTCGACCAGTACCATGTCCGTTAGGAACCATTCCTCTAGGATAATATTATAACATTAATGGTGGATTAAATTTCCTAATAGTCTACGAAAAGTCGGTGCAGCCAAAAAGGTAAAGTCACTAATATAAAGGCTACAATTCAAGATGAACTAGATGTCTCCAAGTATCAGCCAACATCTTTCTGATTTTAGTTAGTACAAATCTAAACGTAAAGATTTGTTTCACAATATTTTAACAGGAATGAATGGAAAATTTACAAAATCATGCCCAAAATCAATAACGTCTGATGTTAAAAATAGATTTTTTCCATTAATCTTCAGTGGGAAGAAATGGAAAGCAGCCCACATACATTCCAAAGCCTTCAGTAGACCGTTTTGGGCATCGCGTAGGACTGACTTACGCCCGTCTCAAGCCTGGTTTCCACCGAGGCGGAGCAGAGCGGAGAAGTGTTTTGAATGAGCAATCATATTTCATTATTTCCATTACGTACAGTACAGTAAACGAACTAAAGTCGCTGACATAGCCCGACGGATTAGCAAGCTGAAGTGGCAATGGGCAGGGCACATAGTACGCAGAACTGACGGCCGATGGGGCAGCAAGGTTCGAATGGAGGCCGCGTACCGGAAAACGCAGCGTGGGACGTCCACCCACAAGGTGGACCGACGACATCGTAAAGGCAGCAGGGAAGCGCTGGACGCAAGCCGCTACCAATCGATCAACGTGAAAAGCATTGAGGGAGGCCTATGTTCAGCAGTGGACGTCCTATGGCTGAAATGATGATGATGATTTCTATTACTCCTCTCCGCTCCGCTCTGCGACGCCTGACACTTCTCCGCTCTGCTTCACTCCGCTCCACCTTGGTGAAAACCAGACCTCACGCGGCGCTTAACTCACCAATACATAGGCTCCGCATAAATTTAACGATGTAAACACCATTTTCCTCAGTTTTTTACCAAAATGTGGCAACATTGCATCGCAAGTCGCAACTCGAATTGCAAAAATACGTTTACCATAAAAATACGGCCGCGTTTAAAAGAAAATACTCCGTAAAGAGATCACATTATACAGACTATGCGTCAGAATATTTGAATTTGGGAACGAAGGTAGGTACCTACTTTCAGCCTGAACGATGCATTACAATACACTTATGGGTAATGTTTACAAGGCGTTTGCGAATATATCTTTACTAATATTATGAACATGTTTTGTATGTAGGCATTAAATATAAAAATATACTTTGCTTGTAGAGGTACGTATGTTTTTTACTGACACAATACTATATTCCCAAGTGCCAACGTACTGCTTTTCGTATAATCAATCGGCTACTTATATTCAGACAAATACATAAACTCAGATACATATTTACATAAATGAAAAACCGTATAAACCCAAGCAGAGCCGCTGGTAAACACTAGCAGCTATTTTACTTTATAAACCGGTGTTATTTCCTAAAAAAAACTGAATGTTATAATCCGACATTATAATGATGAGCAGTTGATTGAAAATTGTATTCTAGCGAAATCTATTCGGTTTTAATACCGCAAACCTGTCAGGAGACTTTATTCGCATTTTTTGTTCATTATGCGGGTTTATCCTGCTCGTGAACATTCGCGGGTTATTCAATAAGCTTGCTTTATAATTACGTGTGCTATAGCTATAATGTCGTCAATCTCATCACGGTAATGCGAACATAAAAGAAAATTCAAAAAAGTATTGTATTAACATTTTATCGATTTTACTTAAGTAGGTATAAAAGCTTGTTTGTAAAGAAGCGTTAACCGGTCCTAGTGCACATGCATTTTCATCTCATTATCCGTTATTTCATTAATTTCAATTTTATGACATCTGAATTAAACGCCTTTATAAGACAAAGAAATAAGACATTATTTAGTTTATTTGCCCAAAATTTGGGCAAAGCAGCTACCTACCTACAACAATTTCAAAGCTTTTTCTGGAATTATCTTAATACATTCTCAACATAAGCAAGTTGATAATAAGTGTTTAGTCCGATTTAACATGCAGGGATCGCATGCGGGAAGCACAATGCGAATCAGGGTTGATACTTACGAAATACGAATGGTATCCCTCCCCGTATCGCGCGCTTGCCATCGAATACCGCCTGCTTGCTGCAAAAGACAAAATACACTTCAATTAACAGCTCTGTAATTAAAAGAAATTCCTTGGAGTTTTGAGGGGCAAAGGTTGACGTCGTTTGAATCAATCATCGCTAAGACGATTGGTATTAATCACCACATCGGCTCTACAATAAAGAACGCTGTGGTCTTGCAGTCTTGCTCTTTAATGCAGAGTGGTTTTATCCATCGTAGAAGTTCTAGTTAAATTCTGTGTTGTCCTTGGCAAAGTCATCAGTCCAACACGTAAAAGAAAGGACCTTAGAATGTTCTAGTCTCTATTTCCATATCATTCCATTACACCCCTATCGTCAAATTTCAGAATCTAGTTTGACTTTAACTTTCTGTCTGATGCCTAGATGACATGTCAGGACATTCGTTTAGCATCTGTCATGCATAAAGCGTAAACGCTACCGAGCGTAACTAACGCTGTATACACGTTATACAATCGTAATTCGTAGCACTATTACGGCGCCACATTAGCCAGGCATCTAGAACCACAAGCGATCGACCCGACCGCATGCGAGCATCAGCTAGGAGCATTACTACTCCAGCTCACGTTTGAAACAAGATCAATTTTAGCGGTTGCATTCCTACGCGGCCCCGGCACAATGCAAAAAGCACCCTTATATTATAAATGCATCAGTGGACAGGTCGGACGCGACAAAAACCGAGCTCGAGCAAGCCACGTATAAATTATTTATGCCATTTTTAGCATTTCGGAGTTTGAGGCGAGTGGACATCGGCCGCTGACGGCCAGTTGATGGCAGCCCATCATCCGATGACACATCAGGCGGACCAAATGTCCGACCAGAAACGTGTGATTGGCATCACAAAATTCGAATCATTATCAACGAACTTGCCATCTATTCCAAACCCATTTCAAGTAACATTAGCTTAATCAGATTTTACGATAGGCCAAGATAAGGTAGAGTGTGCCCACGTTTGCCAAGTTTATGCGTAATCTAAAACTTAAGACATCCAAGGGAATCGATTAAGGATCTAGATATGCAAAGCCTTACCGATTGTAGTAATGCAATAAATAAGTCATAATAACTCCCACGTTAGCATAAGCCGTGTTCAAGGATTAACATGGATTACTAAAAGGCCCTATATAAACAATTAATGGGCCGAGTTGCAATAAATAATGATATTACGACATCACATAGCATTACACTGTCGTCGTCTTGTTTGTAAAAATGGCATATAAATGGAGTATGCCAGGACGTAACGAATGGCAGAGGCTGTAATGTCATTTAGCCACCTTATGAACGCCTTATATGGTGGCAACCCCTCTTAAGCTGGTGGCCGTTAAAGGAATATTTGAAGCAGACGCGTTTATTTTAGATCGCAGACCGCGGTGGAAAGAACCCTATCGAAATAACTTTGTAGATCGAAGGAAGCCGTCCAAGTAGAAAATTATACAAATTCCGATGCCTCAAGCCCCCATAAATACGTCTGACAAGTATATTCTTCAATACTGGAAATTTTTAATTTGTACGGTATGATAATCAGAATGTCGAGCAAAGGTCTGCAGTAATTTGTTAGCAACTGTTCATTACAACAGTTAACTTACTACTTTGTATGCGTTAATAATTCATTGGTTTATTTTATTTTGCTGTCACAAATGACAAGTCAGTCAGACAAGTAGGTATTCGAATTGCGTAATAATAACAAGTATTACGAGCCACTACTGAGATGAGAGATTTTTGATTTTATACTGCACCTTGTTGTAAAGTTTGTGTTAGTACCCATTCTTAAAATCCAATTAATTACACAGTAAGAATTTAAAAACTTAATCGTATTCTATAAGTCAGGCAAGCGGTCCTTGAACGCCTCCCGTCCGGCGAGACAGACGGACGGGGCTAGATAAACTTTTAATTAGAGATTCCGGATGAAATTCCTTCATGAACTGTCGCCGAGCCCGATACATTCCCGGTTTGGCACCAGCCGAGTTTTTACCTCGGCAAACTCGTTTCGAGCCATTCTGTGACCAGACAAATAGCGACAATAAATATAACTTCGACGCCAATTGCTTTCTCTCAATAATCGTCTCAATTCAGTTTTTCGGTGTCCACCTTTGGGCGGATTCGTCAATTGAAAACCAATTAAGCTCGGTGAAAATATCCACCTATATATGTGGTAATTTTATAATGGTTCAGCAGATGCTGATAAGCGTTACTGTCTGAGAAAATAGGCTCAAAATCTACATTGCTCTCGTAGTAAAGTAGCACTCTAGCAAACAAGCGCCCGATATGACAGCATTGTTTAAGTTGATCAATAAATAAATAAATAGCCTACATTCTGCAGATATTTCTTCTGGGAAAATTTCTTACAATCTGTGCCTAATTGCTAAAATTTAAATAATTCCTCGTTAACACGATCATCAACTAATCCGTTATTGGGGATGGCGCGTTAAGCGCATCGACAGCGTTCCGCAAAAACTATATGAGTTGCAATAGTTTCTCGGGTCCCACCCAAGCTCATTGTTCTCGACTTTCATTATTAGAGTTGAACAGACGCGGTGCTGCTCAGTGAGAACATTGTCGCCGCGTCACCGCACCCCGGGAGCGCTCTCGCCGCGCGATGCGCCCGCGCCGGCTACCGGCCACGATAAGTTTGTAATTACTTTATACTGTAGTATTATAAACAGCCAGCTACCTGTTATGCCCATGAATGGTATTTCATTAATATTGGTTCAGCGAAGTGCACGCTCGCGGGCGTTGCCGGGAAATTATTGAAGTAATTTAAAAACAATGCTAGCGTCAATAAAAATGTAAAATTAACTAGTTTTTTCTGTCGCCTTAATAAAGTTCATGCATAAAAAGACTGGAATATTGGCATTCGCGCTACAAAAAGGGCTACTGATAAGCGGTAGCTGGCAGCACATAGTTACAAACTAACGAGAAAAAGTGGTGTTCAATAAACACTCTTCCCTGTGGTTAATGAATCCACTAATTATTTAACCAATGGACAAGTGAAAAAAGCTGCTTAGTTGCTTAGGCTGCACAAAAACTTACTAGAAGCTATTTGAAGCGCTATCAAGATAATGACTTGAAGCGTGTTCCATTTGACATATTAAGAAAAGACAGTAAACCGGTTTGATGAAAAAAAACGCGAATAAAAGCGGGTGAGGATGGACAAATTAAAGGGCGTAGACTGGGGACACTGCGAGGCACAATTAGATCATTTTAGAAGTCACCCCGGGGCAAGTTCAACATACAAACCTATCCTTTAATTAACTCTACATGTGTACCTCCTGCTCGGAACGGGTCTGCGAAAAACGAAATAAAAACCACCGCCGATATTAATGGTAGTCTTATTTTATAAGGCCAATAGTTTGCTACTGTTTAATAACCGGCACTTTACTCACGATCGCGATATGACATAAAATTAAGATCAATTTATATAAACAGTTATCTTCGCAACGCGGAGGCATCTCGCGTACATTCTCATTTTTCTTTTTCTCATATCGAATGAATGGGTGCAATTTTATTATTTTTGAAAAGTTAATGGAATAAACATTACACTTGAGAGTAATTAAGGTAAAATATAAAAAGTAAAAACTTAAAAGCTTAATTTGCGCTTTAATATTACCTATTAAAATATTAACGCTACATATAAAAATATCGCTTTTTTATGGCCCGAAGTTATTTGTAACTCATTTCTTACTTATCTTCTGTGATTAATTTATATGTAGTAAAAAATGGACAAATACATGTATAAAGTTGAAACGTTGGTATTGCATAGAAAAAGGAGTATTTAATCAGGCATGTCCACCCGAAATGGGCACGTTGTGACCCATCTGCCCGCAGCCTCGCCCGAGGGACGGCACTCCCCGCGGTGAGGACATTCATTAGAACCGTTCTCTACTGCAAAATGTTAATTTTACGGGAAAAAACAAAAGCCCGTTGTCTTCTCGTTTGAATCTGATATGAGAAAATGAACCATGTGTCTGCAACAGTAATGGAACAATAGGTAGGATACGATTGCGGCGTACCTACGTTTTACTTTTGTAGTCATAGAAAAATGTTTTCAGTTTGTATATTGTTTATAGGTATGTACTTATGTTTTACGTTTTTGTCAAATTTTTGCAAAACCTTTTGTTACTACGCAAAACATAAAAACAGTTAAAAAAATTGTAGTTAAAAAGCACAATATCAGCTATTATACTTCCTTGATAGAAAAACGTTCTTCTGACAAATGAAAAGAAATTATTTTCAAGCTTTATGATACTTTTGAATTTTGTTTATACTTCTTCCTACAACAGGATCAACAATCAATGATGATTTGAAATTGCATCGCGCCCCATCACTTACCTAACGCAATAAGACAATCTCACAGCAATCAGCATGGAACAAACACTTTTCTGCCTGCGTGTAATCTATGATAATCCGTCGGAAGCGTGGGCGCAGCGAGTTGCACGTGCCGTCTACCCATTTCGTAATATCCTCCACAGGAATGATTCAAATTATCGAATGTCGATATCATAATGCTAATATCGATCTTGGGCAACTATTCAAATTCACCAAACTCAGAATCGAGTCCAAGCTCATTCTGAAAGTGAAACGAGATTCAAACTCAAAGGAAGTCCTAGATATTGATAAACAATCTCAAGATTTCATCTATTCTAGAATGTACCCATGTTATTTACCCATTAATAAGCACAAAGACTCAATATGACTTATATCGAATTACTTGAATAAATTAAAATTAACCTCAGTTCGCTGCTTGTGACTCTACCTCTTGATAACCAAGAATCATGTATCATTTACAATAATTTTACATTACAATATCATTATGCATGCTTCTTTTAGTGTCCTATTTATACCTGAGATGTAGATTTGTCTGAAAATTACTAAAAGGCAATGTTCGAGAAATTAGTCCCGAGATAAAAGCTCTCTTCAATGGAATTAAATAGGACTTAGTTCCAGAATTAGGGATACCCGTTAAAAAGCGACCATACTAAGAAAAATGCCATCACTATTTACGTC